AGTTACCTCTAAAACTTTTGGCCAAGTCTGGCATAAGTGGCCCATTACAGAAGTTATGAAAACAGTCAACGCTCACCGTTAGGGGTTAAAAACCTCATTTAACAAATTTCCCCACCCAAGTTTATCATTTTCAAACTAGTTTCTCTTTAACTAGGTTTGAGGAGAAAACAAATGCAAGAGGGCATTAAAAATGTAAGTAATAATATACTTTGAAAAGCACATTTACATACATCAACATGATTTATAATGTGTAGGTTTAGTCAAGTGAAATCAACTATTCGAAATTATAAGGCTTCAGTATGGAAAATAAAAAGTTATAACTACAGCTAACAATACCATTATGGCATACCACTTGAAAAGCACAGGCTTGCTAGGTTAATGAAATGGCTGTCAGCTCAAGGTTTAGTAACGTTATCCTTCTTCGCTAATTCGTTGTGGCTAATGTTGACTTATTCCTTTTAAATGTTCAGAGTAGTTGGCTAACGTTAGCTTGTGGTTAGCCAAGGTAATGCTCTAGCTCCGAGCTAAAGTGTTGACCGCGAGGTAACGTTACTCGGAGCATTTAAAAGGAAAAGACTGTGCTTTTTAAGAGTTATGCCAGAACTATATAGCGCGTAAGTTCGCGGTTAGCACGTTAGCTCGGAGCTAGCGCGCTACCCGCGCTAACCCGAGGTAATGCACTTCGGAAGGCCTCGAAACGTGTTTGCTGAGTAATGCCTGGTTTGTTCGAAGTACCAACAGTTTCAATCGGACATTTACACGAACGTGGTCATATAACTAATTTGTTGATGTTTGACTCTTTATATGTCTAAACGGAAATAAACATCAATTGCTAACAGTTAGCTAGCTAGCTAGTTAGTTAGCAGGTCTCTGCTACACTAAGCTAGTGAGGCACAGTTTTTATTGTTTGCTCTCACAAAATAATGTAAGAAATTATAACAACAATGAAAAGTAGTTTTAAAATTATCGCTTTAAACTTGGAACGACAGTGTTTAATTGTAAATGTAATAAACTATGAGTTGCCAGCCATGTTAGTTCAAGTTTAACTAGTGTTAGCTATCAGGTTCGATGCGGCTAACTTGTGGTAAACTGTGACGAATTTCAAGTATAATGACTAAAATTTGAGCGAGTGAAGTTGAGTAAATGGTGTTTGAGTGTCAGAAAAGCTGAAACTAATCAGGGTCTGTGATGTGTGGGGCTGTTAGCTGGCTGGCTGACAGGTTAATGGCTTCACACTCCTCAGACCAGGCTTGATACTTCACACGAGTTTAGAGGGCAAATCAGAAATCTGAGGTAGAGTCGTGGAGTGACTGGTGCTGGAGTTCAAGTTTAAACAGTAATGTAGTTATCCTGACTATACTGAGCTATGATTTGGTGCTGCCCTGTGATTTTACGTGCTTAAATCTGAATATTTAAAACAATTTACGTAAAGTTAGAGTTCAGCTTTTGGAAATTCAGCATCTGCTGTATAAACTGGAGTTTGAACATCCACTTTATGAGAATACCAGTTTATGTATGGTAAAAAAAAAATAAAAACATTTAATGTAGCACCAGAAAACACAGTGTCACTACTATAATATTTTACAGTATTCTTTATTTATATTTATTTATACGTAAGAAATTTTAAATTTACTACAAATATTGATTGAATACTTTTTTTTTATTAAGTAATATTTTACTAATAGCATTTCTGCTTTTACTCAAGTACATACAGTTTTGTACTTTGTCCACACTGCTGCTCCTGGCCTACCAGGAGAGGTTAGGATAAAACCCTGTCCGAATAAACAGGTATTTCTCGGGTTTGGCTGCAATGTCTTTACTGGATTTGAGAGGCTTGTATGTTCATGCAAATGCAGTTAGTCAACATAAATATGCCTGTATCTGTTTTAGCTATTTAAGTTAGTGTTTTTTAAACCTTTACTTAATATGTTGACTTTCTACAGCCATCCATCTGCTGCTTCTGGTTCTCAGCTGATCACTGCCTGGTTAATGATAAGGTAATTGTTTAAAACAGCATTATGAGAGAATTGTTATTTTTTCTCTTGGGTCCCCCTACAGTTTTGGAGTGTATTTCACGTTTACACCACTGTTGTGAATACAGATCATGCTTTGAGCCCCCCTCATGGACAGCTGTACATGTGCATTTGTTGTTGAGCTGAAGGATAAAGAATCTGACTCCTCTTCAAGTGTGTGAGCGATGCGCGTTAAGCAGGTATAAGGACGGTTCAGATTACACTTGTGATTTCAGTTGTTTCTATTTTAAACAACCAAAAATCATGAGTGTAACCTGTAGCATCCACTGACACGCGTGCACACAAAGGGGAGTCCGATTCTGCTGGGACATCGGAATTCGGCACAACACCAGCAAAGACAATGTCAGAAGAGAAAGAAAGTACAAACAAAGTAGAGTAATATTACAGGATTTTATTACACGAGGCGCTGACCAAAACCGAATCAGACGCTTTGGCAACCAATCAGAATGTCCATTCCAGGTGGGAGGCGGGAATTTTCCCCATCAGTAAAGTCTTTGAGAGTTGGTGTGCAGTGAGAGAAGCTGCAGCTCACTGATCTAGTAAAAATGTTTTTACTGTGATACACGCACCAATACACAGACACAGTTTATGCTACTTTGTGAATTTATTAAATATCAGTTTGATATGGGCCAGTTAGGATGATATTATTTCAGATGTGCATGTTGATTATATCATTTCAGCTTACTGAATTGTTAGGCTTTAAATAGCGTTGGCTTAGTGATGCTTGGTTTATTTGACATACCAACAGTTTTCAGTCGAACGTTTACTCGAATTTAGTCCTGTAGCTAATTTGATAATGTTGGACTCTAGAGCCTAAATCAGGTTATCAGGGGGTCGGCAGTAATATTAAGCTGAGTCTGTACTGAATGAGGCTGAGTGCAGGTAAGTTTGCAGAGCTTTTCAAATCAAGCTATGTACAGAACGGAAAGGTGTCGTGTTACACTGAGTATCAGATGAACAGTTAACTCCAGGGAAACCTGTTACTTTTGCTTTGGCTTCTTTTCATCTGCTTTCATTCTGTACATGGAAATGTGCTACCATACTGGCAAAGCCTGCTGGTTTGCCTGGTTTTAAAGGAGGTTGCCAGTCTAATGACGTCAACTGAGTGCACAGTAGCATTAGCTTACATGTAGCAATATTCATATTTCGACTCATATCAGCTTTGGAACATTTTTGATTATCACAGGATGCAACAGAGGCAGCTTTCAAATACTACATTAATTTTTCTCATAGAGAAATTCCTTTAGAGTTCCTTATATGGGCATAAGCAGTATGACACCGACTGCAAAATAAGACATGACTACAGTGGTCTATTGTTTAAAGCACGACTGGATGTAGCAGCGACACCGACGAGCCAGTGTCAATGAGGGCAGTGAGCTATTTCCTGTCCTGTCATTTCACAATGTTCCTAGTCAGGTTAAAGTGATAGAACTTTTTACTTTTGAATAAATAAAATATGACCCTTTGTTCTACCTTTACTTTTTTTTTATTTTATGATTTTGTGAGTTTGTGAAACTTTGAAACAAAGCTATTTCATGATATTTCCACTGACAATAACAGAATAAAATATGGGAATACCGCTATAACAAAAAGACTTCAGTGATACGTATAACCATCGACAGCACATAGTCTATCAATCTGAAGAACCATTTCACCATGCAAAGAGCTCTTTAATCATGCAACTGGTTCTTTTTTGTGTTCTTAGTTCTATATAGAACCTCTGCCTTTACTAAAGGACCCTTGAAGAACCATCTGTTTTTAAGAGTAAACTACCGCGCGTGAGGGACGGGCATATTTGACTATGAGTGAATCAGAAACTGCTAATTTAAATGATAAATCCCTAGGCCAATCAGAGAATGTGACCATCAAGTTCTCTCATACACTCTATCAAGCTCTTTCTCACTCTCCGTCAAATTCTCTCACACTCACTATCACCATAGTAAGAGTTTAATAGTGAGTGTGAGAGTTTGATAGTGAGTGTGAGAGAGTTTATAGTGATTGGGAGAGAGTTTAATAGTGTGTGTGAGAGGTTTGATAGTGAGTGGGAGGTTTGATAGTGTGAGATAGTTTGATAGTGAGCGTGAGAGAGTTTGACAGTGAGTGGGAAAGGTTTGATAGTGAGTGTGAGAGAGTTGATAGTGAGTGTGAGAGAGTTGAATAGTGCGTGTGAGAGGTCTGATAGTGAGTGGGAGAGTGTTTAATAATGTGTGTGAGAGTTTTGATAGTGAGTGTGAGAGAGTTTAATAGTGAGTATGAGATGTTTGATAGTGAGTGTGAGAGTTTGATAGTGAGTGTGAGAGAGTTTGATAGTGAGTGTGAGAGTTTGATAGTGAGTGTGAGAGAGTTTGATAGTGAGTGTGAGAGAGTTTGATAGTGCGTGTGAGTGGTAAGTTAGAACTCATACAGTGCTGCTTTGTTTTGATTGACATAACAGAACAGAATCTATTAAATTTAAGCTTTCTTCTAATTGGTTTACAAACTGAAACGCACATTTATTTTTTACTCTGTAACAGTTATAAAAAACTACTGAAGTAAAAGTTCCTGATTATAAATGAACTCAAGTAAACATGTAAGTACTATGGGTTAATTTTACACTCTCAAAGGAGTATTACGTAGTACTGAAAGTGGGTTCTTTGACTTGTAATAACAGTGGTGCCATTTTTGGAGCTATATAAAAATATTTTCAAAAGTTTAATATACAGTTAGCGTTCCATTATTGGGAATAACCATTTAAATAGGCAAAGAATTATTTGAGCATTCAGATGGTTCTTTGAAAGTTCATGTCTCTATACATAACCATTGCCTTTACTAAAGAACCCTTGAAGAATGTACTCAAAAACGAGAGTAAATATGTCATTACTTTCCACCTCTGTGTTAGATTCTCACAAAAATAAAGAAACATTTTAAGAAGTGTATTCATTTCATACTAGCCAGATGCAAAGTTTGTGAAACTGACAGTTTCTTTTATATCTGCTTTTATTAGAAGAAAACAATGCTAGAAAACAATTTTAATAGCCCATTTGAAGGTTCGATTTTGAATATAATGCTACAGCAGTTACAACAGCCACTAAAGATGGAGACGTAAGCTTTCAGCAGCAGTAAAATATGGAATAATCAACTGAAAAAAGAACATGGAAAGTATTTAAGCAGTTGCAGAATGCTGAGAATATACTATTGAAACTGGCATCATTTCATTGCTGGTAAATGAATAAAGAGCAATGGATCATTGTGTTGCTTAATGCAAACCCTTGATCTACTTAACAGGTCACACGATCTTTATCATCATGCGTGTTGCCTTAGCTGAGTAGGGCACAGGGCCTCTCCAGGTGAGCCAGTGGAGGCCAGATGCCCAGAATCGATTAGCTGTCCCAGGGTGCCAATCTCCATGCAGGTTTGCTGAGCCACAGCGACTGAACCACCAGCCTCCACCATTTTTAGCACTGCAGTCGTTTGTAGCAATGTCTCCAAAGATGCACGGGGAGCAGCCATCATTGTCACGGTCGAAAGTGCTGAAACCATAGCCATTCTGGTCAATGCCTGCATATGTACCACGTATGGCATCACCTTAGAAGTGGAGAGAGTTAAGAAAGGATGATTAAGATGAACCTCATTCTTAAATGTCATTGTAAGATCAACTTTTTGCACTAATCAGAGAAAGACTAATCTGACATTTTTAAATTCCAACTAAAATAAATCACGTTATTTTATGATTGCACAAAAGCAGATTACCAGATTCAACTGAACATTTACTGTACCTGCATTGCCACTGTATGCTCCAACGTGCAGTTTATAGTTGGTTCTCGTATTGCCAATATTAAAATCTTGGTATTGGGCATATGCAGATCCTCCTTCAAAGTCCCACAGGTCCACTCTGAGCGTTGCGCTCTTTCCATCGGTTAAAGCCCAGATATTGGACAAGCCCAACCAGTGTTCACCTAAAAAGTAGTTTGAGAATTAACTGAACTCAAATTTACATCATATTTCAGCTCCTTATGATTAGACGATGTGAAGTACCCAGTATACAACGTGCTCGTAAGTCCAGGACAGTACTAAGTTACAAAGGTTACAAAGGGCCTAGAGTCTGTTGCACAATACATGCGTTTGTTACGGAACTGCATATATTTAGTTTCATATTTTAACAGCTAAAATTTTACAGTAAAAAAAAAAGTCAGAGACCACCCTTCATTTATTTAACATCCCTTTAAACAAGCAACATGTCAAAACAGTCAATTTAATGTCAAAACAGCTATTCTTAAAGCAATAAGCCACGAGAGGCCCTGTGTTATGGTGATTTTATCAAAGGAAGAGTGGTTTTAAAAAAATTCCGCAGACAACCTAAAATATATAAAATACACAATTTTTCAAAAGAATTTTTGAGTTATTATTAATAATAATTAATATAAACAAGTATTCCACCAAGAAATGTAGTTTCTGTAGAGTATGATATCATGGCTAAGCAACCATGGACCACAGAATGAGGAGAACGTTATGTCACCCATTGCTGTATATTCTAAACCTTCATATCTAGCACACTATTTAGGGAATATGGAGCCATTTGGCATTCAGTCTTGGTTTGATGCGACTTCTGACGGAAACAGACATTTGAAGCGTGTAATTCATTTAAGTGACATTTTTAGACCTTTATACTGCCATTTTACAGATATTTATACCATAAGTACTTTAATTTGATCTTAATGATGAAGTTGTTTAGGCTGTTGGCTGTGTTTTAGCCTGTTAGCTAGCTGACCAGCCTTGTTCTAGTTAAGAACATAAGCAGCCAGCCCCTCAGTTTAAACAAAACACAGAATCTTACTTCATCACTATACTCAGTGGTCCATGTGAGCAGCATGGTCAAAAATTATTTCATTAACAGCGCAAGGGTTTTTCGTGCTGTGGCGCATTAATATACAATTCAGTTGTTGTTAGGCGGTCATAGGTATGTGAATATCGTGGACTTCACAACAGTTTCGAACGGGGCTCAGCCAGTCAGATTTTAGGACCGGAACTATCCGTTTTTATAAATATTCATATAAATTAGTTCTATTTCAGTGGCAGGAAAATAAGCAGAAAACATACTTTTAACAGAAAATCCCACAAAATCCTGAAAACTAAATAGCACATTTATTGGTGTGTCCACACTTTATAGCTGTTTATACAGCTTCTGTTCCTTTAGAGCAGTTTGCTTAAGATTTTCAAAGAAATCAACAAATATTTTTCCACACCTCTAAAGTTCAGTCTTAGTTCTCACAATGTGAATAATTCCAAACACATTCAGTGCTGTTAAGAAAAGTGTGCTCTAGTCTTGAATTCCTGTGTTTGGTGTGGACCTCTACCAAAATGTTTTTCCCTTAACAGTGAACTGAAGCAGCGTTCGCTTAAAAGTGACCTGAGGGCCCTTGATTTTTGTTGGACCACCTGTCATTTCTTTGGTGTGGATATGAATGCGGAGGGGAATGTTTATACATCAAAATGGACTGAACTAAAGTTCATGCTTTATTTCTATATGTCAGCCCTCCATGCAGTTTAGAGACAGCAGAGATTTTCTTTTTGAAATAAGTGTCCCGAATTCAGCAAGAAAGTGGTGGGTCGTCGCCCCGGTACTTTAAAAAGTGGTGGGTCCAGCCCAAAGTTGTGCCGGGAAACCCTGGTGCATGTCATTTTGACAAATGCCACCTACCTAGATATCACTGAGTGCATTTACATGCACTTGATAATTTGATAATGGGAAAACTCCAGGTCTACATGAGTCAGGCAGTAATCTTTTTTGCTTTGCAACCAACCGGCCGGCTATTTAATACCATGTTATTAGGGTTCAAGCATGCAATGCATTGAACCCTATTGTAATTGTCAAGATTTTTCTTCCTATTCTTTTTCTTCCCTGAAACGGAACGCACAGCCCAAACCGTAAGTCCTAGAGACTTGAAACTTGGTCAATAGGTAGTAGTCCCTCCCTCTACTCAGGCGCGAGGAATCAACCCAGTTGGCCACTTTTGCAAACTAGTCCTACAATTTTTGCCCAATCCCCATGTAATTGGTGTCAAAAAATTCAGAAGAGCCTGAAGGTCAATAATTATCAAAAACATTTTGACTTTTCTAAACAACATGGCTGCCATATGCAGATGAATCCTTCTGAATAAATTCAAAATAATTCAGAATTAATTTAAAATTCTGTAACTCGATAACCCTTCAGCCAAAAAATTTCAAACTTGACAGGCACATTTGGGAGAAGATTCTGAGGTAGCCATTCGATTTTTGTGCGCATATGTCATTAGGGGGCGGAGTTAATGCTACATGGCTGTTTCTCAGCATCCCTACATCCGATCAGGCTGAAACTTTGCAGATACCATCTGTTGGCCAGACTATAAGTGAATCCATAAGGACAATTTGATTCATTGAAGTATATGGTCGCCATCGGCCAATCAGCATTTAGCAGGTTTTTGACAGGCTTACCATTGACCAATCATGATGAAACTTGAGTGATCTCTACATATCGCCACTTTCAATCAAGTTTCAAAAGATTTGACCACTGGGGGGCGCTATTCATAAAAATTAACATATTATTACATATTATTACTATTTTATTACAAGTTTGCTTGAAAATCCTTGTGTATCATATGTAGTACGTTATTCCAAACAATTTTGCAGATTGTTATTTCTTACAAAACTGCATAGTTTTTTTGTAATTGGTAACTGTTTAAAAAGCCTACTTTTCAAACTAGTCCCTGGATTTTGATCCAATTTTTTCAAACTTGATCTGAAAAAATTCTTTGCCATGTGTAGGTAAATAATTATCAAAAACATGTTGACTTTTCTACTCAGGGTCGTGTGGATCAATCAATTAATTACTGCGACCATGGCATTGCTAGCTTGATTTGCTATAACTCAACAGTCATTGGCCAGATCATCTCCAAACTTTAAGGATATTTACATATTTAGATTTCAATGATGTCTGCCAATTCCAGATTGTCCAGATTGGCCTTTAGAGGGCGCTTTAGCACTCAAAAACACTTAAAAATCAATTAAAATACTATTACAATGTTATTACATGGTCGATAGATAAACAATTGGTGCCATGTGACTCAGTTCACTCACATGAACAACTTTCTAATTACATATTATGTAAAAAATTGCACTGCTTGTCTTTTATTTTGGCTTATTCATTCAAAGATTTCACTATACAAAGGCTTATTATACAAAGGTCAAAAGGTCATTCTGACCAAAACTTAGTGAACGTCTTTGGATATGGTCTCTGATAAAGAATGATACCATACTGTGACCTTTTCACTAATTCTGACCCATTTTTACTGAGCTCCTCACACCAATAGGGCCTCTTATGAGTGCATTGGGCCTCATTATGGCCTACATGAAATCAATGGCTTAAATATAGAACCAATCCACTGTGCAAGTGCTACTATGTGAGAAATGCTGCCATTAGTCATGTAGTTTTGACATGTATGTTGACAACCACTTGGATGTTCTACAAACCAGTGTAGATCAGTACATATGAATATAAACCTATAATGTGTTTAAAACACCACTGCTTCTTGTTTATGGCAACTGAAGGCCTTTTGATGAACTGACTTCCTTTCAGTTCTATTCACTCTGCCTATAAATAAGACCCACAGCTTGAGGCCTTTTTAGGCCTAATATAATAAAAGGCTTGACGCCTTTTTAGGCCTAATGGGCTAAGCGAAAAGCTTGAGGCCTTTTTAGGTCTAATGGGCTAAACTAAAAGCTTGAGGCCTTTTTAGGCCTAATGGGGTAAACCTGCAGGAGGGCCCGTACTGCTGTTGCATGCTTGAACCCGCTCATTGCCACTTGCGGCTATATTTATTTATTTATGATTATGACTTTGGGATAATTCCAATATAGGTACACAGACCAAATGCAGTAGAATTCAGACTCATGGCTCATAATTAATGGATCGGTGCCTGGGGCCATCATGTACCTAATAATATAATAATATAATAATAATAATTCCTAATAAACATTACTTACCCTTTAGATTCCCAAACCCATCCTCATATGCTTTCCAGTCCCTGTTGAAGGAAACCTGCCCTCCCGTCCGCCTCTGGAGAACAGTCCAGCCCCCATCTTTCAGCATTTCACAGTAAACCTGGATCAACACATTTACAATGTTGGTGGGCAATGGTAAGCACAAGTGTTTTTTGGGTGATTAAAGTGAGAGTAGTGGAATTTTAAGTGGAAATTAAGGTTAACAGGCTGTTTAATGGATCATTCTTGAAGATAGAGTAGTTATACTGGTCTTACCTGCTAGTGTTCTTTACTTTAACACAGAAAATTAGTCTTACTTACACTAATAATAATTATAATACTTTCATACTTATATACTTATAATACTTATTGCCGAACACAGTCATTGCCTATATTTCACAAGTAATTTCCAATGTTATTTATCTGCTGTTGTAGTCTTATGAACATTTCTGATAAGAGGTTTTCACAGCACTCACCAGTTCTCATACACTAATGTTCAAAAGTTTGGAATCAGTGTTTTGAATGATATACAACCAAGTTGCTTGCAGATAAATATAGAAATGAATGATCACAGGTTTCAAATAATTATCAGGAAGCTGTAAAAATTAAATACATAAAAAAGAAGACGTGCTGTGTCCAGAGTGATGACCACAGCTGTAGAAGATTCCAAAATGACTGAGAAAGCCAAAAAGCACTAGTAACATATTTCTGATCAAATTAATATCCAGAATGCCTCATATTTAAAACGTGGTGATCAAATCTCCAGCCAGACATGACAAAAAAATCTTGTAGAGTGATAATTAGAGCACATTATTTATCAACTGGAAACCTCCTGAAGCACTGAATAAAACAGCTACACTGCAAAAAATGATATTTTGGTGATAAATCTAGTTGAGATATCTAATATTACTAATTTTGAGATGGTTGTGGGAATATTTTAAAATTATTTAACTTATTTCTAAACTTTTATTTATTACTATATTGGCATAGAATTTTGCTTGTTTTAAGCCTGTTTCTTACAACAGGCAAAAGTATCTGCCAATATAGTGAGATAATTTACTTGATAAAATTACTCCATGTAGTTTATAATGTAGTTTATATTATTTAAATCTACATTGTGTTGTTATTATTGTAAAGAAAATAACAAAAAATATTACAACCAGTGATTCCAAACTTTAAAACCATATTGTACATGGTGTAAAGCAGGGGTGTCCAATCTTATCCGCAAAGGGCTGGTGTGGCTGCAGGTTTTCATTCCAACAAAGCATGAGTGCACATGATCAGTTGATGGGAAGGCTGATCAAGTGATTAAACAAGTGGAATCAGATGTGCTCCAGCTCATTTGGAAGGAAAACTTGTGGCAACACCAGCCCTGTGTGGATAAGATTGGACACCCCTGGTGTAAAGAGTTCTCATAAATCTGTTTAGTTTCCCACCATCCAAAAAGTGACTTCCACATGAAACATTCTACAGAGAAATGGCATTTTCAAGTATTTCTAATAAACCTAAACAAAACCTTCCTTTCCATTCAACACAAGGCTGTTAATGAACTGCTATGGATCCCAGCCAAATTATTTTCCAGCTACCTTGTTAGAAAAAATCTTTCAGCTCTGATTTCCATATAGTTGACAATGCTGTTAATAAAAGTGTTTGTACCGTGAATTTTCTTTTGTCCTGGGATGGCTGAATGGTGTAAGTGCCGCTCGGTGCATTGGGTAAGATTTTCTTTATGTGTGTGCAGTCCTTCACTGACATGGAGAGGGAAATAGAGAATTAGTCCAATTCTCCTCATTTGGAAAATTCTCTCAAAGACTGGATTCCTTAAGTGTTCAAAATGTGTTCAAAAACTAACCCTAAACATACAACAGATTCAGACCAGCACTGAATAATGCTTATATCAGAGTGAATCAAACTTTCAAGCAAAATCAAAATGTTATGCTTTTTTATGAAGGTAAGGACATGCTTAACTGGAATATTAAAGCCCTGGTACTGAATCACAATGCATATATAAGATGGTTTGTGGATTTAAAAAGAGTGAGAATTAATAAAGCTTCTATTCACCACACAGATTAATGCAAAGCACAGACAGATTACATGTATTTCTGTATATGCCTTTGACTGAAACCAGCTCCTTCACTTCACTGAATAGATTCTAGATATAATCAAAAGTTCCATGTGTGGCTTAAAGGATTGCTAGTTCAGTATGTATATGGATCACTCTACCCCATTGGTTAAAAATCGGAGTTGAAAACACAATTTAACAGATTTGACTTAGACTAAAATCCTTTTGCTTTGAATGACTCTACACCTTATTTCATTAAAATAAACAATTGAACACTCCATTTTACCACTACCAATACAATTATAACATTTTTGAAAGTTTACCAAATGTTTCGGTGGTGACAAATTTAGTTGATTTTGGGCAAAACACAAAAATGCTAGCCAGTACATGACTAGCAAGCACAGCAGTAACACTTTATGTGGATAGTCTACTTTAGGTGCTGTGTAGATTCAACTAAATATAGTTGATATAAACTAAATATAAACTAAATTGGCCATAATTTTCTGTAACCCTAAACTTGGCTCTAATCCAAACCCTAAACTTAATTTCAGCCCAAAACCTAAACCCAACCCTCACCCTGCTCCTAGCCTTAACCCTAAGCCAACGGCCCTGGTCCAAATCCTAACCCTAACCCCACCACTGTTTAGGAATCAGCTACATTTCAACTGATAGTTTGTGAACAATTTGAACATCTGTAGATAATCTATCGGGGACTATAATGCACTATTCAAGTAAAGTGAGACCAAGTGTTAGCTTTGAAAAGTGATACACACATAAATTCATAATATGTTTTAGCATTTTAACATTAAAACACAAAAAAAGTGTACTCAATTTGAGAAAATATGTGTTTCAGTAGTGACAGTTCTCAATTGTCATTACTTCAAAACAGTGAGATCTAACTGCTCACCATGTGGTCATGAGGGACAGGGATGTAGTCTTACTTCCTGCTCTAAATGCAGGCGTGTGGCTAAAATAAGGCTCCACCTATGGACTAAGGCTCTTTGTGTTTCTGTAGTGACATGAAAGTTTTTTACTTAAAAATTAAACTCATAATGAATCTAAATCTTTCAGCTGCACTTTTAAAGAAATCAAAACGATCTCTTAAAGAAATACAAAAAAAGAAAGTATTATTTTCACAAGTTGAAATTTAGGGGTTGGGGTTTGGGATGGACACTCCCCCCAATAGAAAGAACCCTATAAATGATGATATTGGATATTTTAGCTCATAGCATATTTTAGATCATAGCAAAATTCTTGTAAATATCTAAGCTCTGTATACTTAATTGTCTTCCTAATAATTTTTTTAAACCATGGGACTGCAGTTTGAACTAATTCAGCAGAATGGTCCATATAAGGTGTGGTACAGCAGCATGGACTCACAACAGGCTATAAACCAAACAAGCAAAAAGTAAAGATCACTGCAAACTTGAAGTGCATCATCAACAATATCAGAGTGTATCCCAGCTACCAGATACCACTGATTATGTAAGTGCTATGAGCAATGCAGCCCCAATTATATGAGTGAAGCAGGGAATTTTGAAACCCAGCTGGGCTTCAGATATACCCTGATCCTGGCTGTTCAGCGTAGCTTTGCGTAATGAAGCCATGCGGCACAGAGAAGCGACGTGGCGTCTGAGTGAGATGCCTATGGGCCAGATTCATTCTTCTTACAAAGCAGGGAATTTGTGTAACAAGTGATGTCTGAAGATACACATATATATACATAGTGACTCCTTGACTCACCTGTCTGTGGCTGTGTGTCCCGCTGCACCTAAAACACAATGATTCAAATATTGGACAAATGGCAAAAAATATGGTAACAGCTTTTTATATGATTACACAGTTTTGCAGTCTTGCAGATCATTTGTGGGTTTATGTACACTTACCCTCGCCCTGACCTGCGCAGTGACCACACACAGTGTCAGTAAGAGCAGTCCCACTCAGCCAGTCATCATCCTCACCATGTTAATCTTCTGAGATGAAGGAAGAAGCACATTTCACACATCCCCACTGATTGCACAATATTGCATTGCACAAATTCATGACTTTATATTTTCTTATCTTGGAAACACACTGCTGTTCTATTGCTTCATCACCCTCACTAGTACCACTGCTGCACACAACAGTGAAGACTAACTGTAGTTACAGTTTACTATTATATTATATTATATTATATGATATTATATTATATTATAGCTGTCCAATAAATACATCTCCACTGTTTTTCTACATCATGTATGAAAATCCTATGATGAATAGAAATTACATTATAATTATTCATTTTGGGATTTTTACCGTAATTTTCCCTCCTGCTAGCAGGGTCTCCCACTATCATAAGATGCTGGCAGGGTGAAGGTTAGCATGTGCTTCTTTTGAGACATGTGAAGTCATCCATCACATCTTTTCAAACTGTCACTAACATGACCTGACAGCTCAGTGTACCTGCAGGAGAACATGAACTGCCAACTCTGTTATGTCAGCTAAGTTATGTTACACCTACGTTGGCTAGCATAACACCAAGTGATAGGGGGACAGGGACCCACCCAAAGAGCGCAACAGCAATAATGCCCTCTTGGACTCTCAACCATGGATAGCTGTGGCATCACCCAAGAATTGAACGCCAATGCTTAGATTGTTGCCTATTTATTTATTTATTGATTATTTATTTAAAGTCAATATTATACCCGAAGTTATTTAAATTTACATAGATTTAAAACTGTGCTTGATAGTTTTTCTTAGTTGGAGCACAGCACACAAAATTCCTCTTGTAATTTTAAAACCTGGTTCTTTTAGATTGTATAGAATGTAGATTGTATAAAATGCAGGCCAATTGCGATGTCAGTGCTTTCCAGTCCCAGTTTTTGCAACCAGCTGCCATAAATGATGCTACACATGATAATGTGATAGAAAATGTGAATGCTTCAATCAATCAGCTGTAACAATGTGAATTAACAACTAATTTAACATTTGGTTTTATGTCCTTTTGTGAACTGTTGAATAATTCTGTTTTTTAAACTGTGTTACATTACATGCTATTACTTTTATGTTCTATTTACATATGCTTGCACAGTCATATGACTTTTGGGCATTCCGGTCAAATAACATGTTTTGTTGATTTTCTAATTGAAAATACATTAACACTTCATCTACAGAGAACACACTTCTGCACATTTTAATACACAGTTACTGTTTATTTGCTGAATGTAATACATTGGCAAAAAATACAACATAAAATGTGGCATGTATGAAAGTTGTGTTGCAATATGTTTTTTTTTTTTTTCAATATGTCACATTCAGCAAGTAAATACAGTGTGTGCACAAAAATGAGCAGAAATGCCATATTTACGTTTGTTCCCTGTAGGAAACCTTGATGCATTAACTGACCAGTAGTGTTCAAACTTTTGCATGAAAGTTTGAAGTGGCTAAACTGTCATTTGAGGATAAAGAGAAATCATTCCTGATTCACATGCCTTACCAAGATTTAACAGCCATAACATCCTAAAATTAGTTTGCTTTAAATATTGCAGTACTGACTATAAATGTTTATACTCACCGTGTCCAACTCCTGTGTTCCCCAGTGTCAAAAGACTCCACAGTACTTATACACTGTTTTCACAGTGACAGCCCAAAGAGTGGACCCGCCCACTTGTATGTCCCAGGACAAACAGTTCTAAATCCCAGGCCTACACATATCAGCTACAGACAAGGCACTATATTCCAGAGTTCAGTTCACCTATAACATGTGCCTGTAAGAGATCCACTGAATTTTACAGCTCCTCTGGTTAGACTCTCTCTTCATGGGGGACTGTTCACTCTGTGTTGTTGCTTCTCACATAAACTTCTACAGCTCAGGCTATTTCTGGAATGTTGACACAAACACTATAATTTGTGTACTTATCCTACATTCCCTACTGGCTCAATCATGACACAAGCCATACAAACATGCTTACCACACCATCCACATGCCAATCATAGTCCCCAGCAGTAATCAATGCAGAAATACTCTGACATATATTATTCAATGAGATAATGGAGTCACATTCGGAAACTAAATGTTAAATAGACCTCTATGCTATATTTTTCTTGCAGGTCTACTTTTGTCATTTTTAAGGCTTTATGTACCAAAAACAGTGTTAATTAATTTTCACATCTCTCTTTGTCTCTTTTAAACAGACAGTAACTGGGCCTGGCTCCTGTGTATTGCACCTCTTGAAAAACAGTCTGAAACCCTCCTTATATTTTGTATATATGTGAATGGGTGGTGTTAAATATACTTTGTGCTTTGTTTGTTTCAAACTTCTTAATTATCACCCATAACAGTGGAGTCAGTCATGTAGTTATTCATTTATAGCCTTTGCCTGATATATGAAGGTTAACACACTTTTGCCGCACTTCATTTGTGTCTTCTCTAATCTTCACCATGTTGGCCTGAGCAGTGACCACACACAGTGTCAGTGAGAGCAGTCCCACCCAGCCAGTTATCATCCTCACCATGTCGATCTTCTGAGATGAAGGAAGAAGCACATTTTATCTCAACTGTTTGCACAATATTGCATTGCACAAATTCGTTCATGACTTTATAATCTTGGAATCACACGCTGTTGTATTGTTTCATCACCCTCACTAGTACCACTACTGCACATAACAGTGAAGACTAACTGTAGTTACAGTTTACTATTATATTATATTATATTATATTACATTATAGTTGTGCAAAAATACACCTCCATGATGAATGGACCAATAGAAATTGTATTATATTCAGATTTTTTATTATTTTTTGACAGACCAAAAGAATTATGGTTAAAACCACACTGATGTAGATATTTGTCATAGACATTACTTTTTACAAACAGTACTTAACATTTGTGGTTAGGTACACCTTCCTAATAGTCATGCGGTTATTCATTTATTCATTGCCTGATATAGGAAGGTTAACACACTTTTGCCATATTTCATTTTGTATTCTCTAATATAATATCTCTATGAATGGTATAAGCTGCATTCAAAATCATTTCCTATTAAAGGGATAGTGCACTATATAATGTGTCTAATTTTGTAGTGTTGTTTAAAATCTCAGCATTTCTGCATTTTGTTCTGCTATCTACATTTTTAATAGAAATCCCACAACTGTCTCTGTAAAGCTGCATAGGCAAGATGTGTAGTAATTTCAGCTTCAATGTTAAAGAAACCCATTAAAGCTGCACTATAAAAAGACACCACTTAGTAAAAGGACTTCACTTAGTAAGCGGTTATAAAAAGAGTCAACTATGTAAGGCTTAATAGACATGTGTATGTTTAGGATAATTCCGCAGTGTTATCTACTAATGACACACAGGCCAGCTTGCATGTTTATATATTTATTTACTCATCGGTCCATGTTTAAAATAATTAAAGCCCAACTCAACACTACCCAAGAACAGCTTTATAAAAACACACATTTTATATACCATTCTCCTGTGATTATGGTGTTTTCAGTCTGATTCTATGCTCTAGTTCAGTTTTTACAACAGTTACCTCAAAAGATATAAACATGAGCTTATATTTCATAATAGAGGCATCATACATCATGTACATACTGAGTAACATTATCATGTGTGTGCGTTACATGCAGACAGGACACTCCTTTATCACACACAGACACGTCTCTATAGGACTGGATGTCTGAGTCTTCATTCACAATCAAATCAATGCACAGATGGAGTATGAAGATGGGAAACAATCTGAGAACATTTAACATTCGTGGAATGAACACATTCATTCCATATTTTTCTCCATATCTTAAAATGAAACATTTTCATAGAAAACCCACAAATGTCCTTGTGAAGCCGAATAGGATTCATGTATAGCAATTTTAGCTTCATTTAATGTCGAAGAAACCTAGTAAAGCAGCACTATGTAAGATATGAGGATCTGGAGACCTCTCTGGTGGAAATGCATACAATGTGTGGAAGAACACTTTCTAACTTGGACCCCTTTCCCGAGTGGATGAGTGAGCGCATTGAAAGACTATGCAAAGAGAATTCAGTCAAAACTTGATAAAGGATGTGAGTGAATTATCTATTATTGTGATCATATCTTCATCATCATCAGTATGATGTTGATTTTACATTTGAGACCTAAACTTCATGCCAGAACTTCTTGTTGAGTCTGTGCACGTGACATTAATACATAATGTATGATGTGGTCTCCCACAGGAGAAAAAAAAAACAAAATCCGATGCTGTTGCCTCTAACTATTAAATTCTTTCAGGCTTTACAGGGTGAGTCGCAGCAGTACACTCACACTATTATCATGCTTTTCTTCTCCTCACTCAGTAATGCTACGTCTTTCAATTTTAACAAAACATCTTATATAGTGCTGCTTCAAAAATGCAAATGAGTGACTGATAACATTTAACTCCACCATTAGGGGTCACAATGTCCACAGTGTAAATATGGCCATTTTATTTACGATTCAAAACCTCTAGTGAACCTACATGTCTCCTGAGTTTTTGTGTTGATGATGGTAAAATAGTGGTAGATCTGAAAAAAAAAATTATTTGCATTTTGCCCTATAACACTCTGCACCCTACCTAAGTTATATAAGAAAAAACTCACACATTTTAGACCAAAAATCCCAAAACTACTGTTAAATGTCTAAGACATCAGGCAGAGAGCTTTTAGAGGAATTAAACTCTTCAGGCGTTTGGTTCCTATCATCACCACTGTGAACAATTCTGACCCAGTAATTTCCATTACAATGAAGCATTTTACATCAAACCACTAAGAATGACTTTGTTTACATCTTAATGATTTCATTATACTATATATTTGAAAAATCGATAGAATTCCCCTTTAACTTCAACAGAGCATGGCTGCATCAACAACAAATGAGGGTCTAAAGTAGTTTTGAAAATAGAATTATGAGACATATACTAAAAATATAAACCCCACATTACAACAAGCACATATACACTCATAATAAGGGTTCCTAATTGGTCCTGGGAGACATGGGGTCATGTCCTACATTTTTCTTATATTTTATTTTTTCTCTTAGGGTTCATAACATTTGTGTGGTTTATGTACCAAAAATGGTCATAGTTCATTTTACCTGACCATTTTCCAACTTCATTTAATCCCTTAGAATTAAACAGACTGTTATTGTTACTGTGCCTTTAAAACTGATATAATATGAATGAGCTCAGTTCTGATCGGTGGCCCTGTATTGTGCCTTCAAAAGCACTCTTTAGAACACCAATGGACTTGAACTGTGAATGGGCGCTAAACTGCCGTAGGCTTGATGGGTGGATATATAAATAGGTTGGTTCTTGCAACATCACAAAAACAATGAATTTGAAATGAGCTGTTTTTGTATCTAAGTTTCTGTATTAATGAACTGTATGTACTGGGTGGTGAATGTTACATTCTGAAACTTTAATAATATTTAATATTGTCTCTGCATCTGTGCATGGACTGATTTATAGACTGGAGTGTCCTGTGCTGCTGAGCCTCCCTGAATACGAACTCACCTTTTACAGAGACAGAGAGAAAAGGGCGGAGACTTCCACCACCCACTCTCACCGTCTTACAGTGTGCTTATCAGGGAGGCTTTAGGATGATCACGTTACACAGATTTCTCGTGCCCATTCTGGAGGTTTGGTGTTGTAAGAAAGACAGCCAATGTCAGCTGTGCCTTTCTTCTCTCCACTATTCATCACATTTTGCCCTGTAGAACCTTTGGTCTCACATGACCCCTTTTTCCCCGGCCAGATGGGCTGCTTCACGTCCGGTGGGACAGAGTATGGGTTCTCCAGAACTTTGAAAAGCCTCTGAACCTGAAAACAAAGCAAGACAATGTCTTTCTGTTGACAGGCTCACTTAGACTGTTCCCTCTTGCAGAGATACGTATCATTGCTGTTGCGCAAAAACAGTGATGATCATTTTCATTTTTTTTGCATAATTTGAAAATTCCAGTTATTCTTTGCATTATGTTAAAATTTCATGATGGATGCGCTAATAGAAACAGTCCAAAGTTACTTGGAAATAATTATTATTGCATTAGCAACAACAATTGCAAGAATGTTTTTTCCTTCTACTGTAAAGTTACCATTTACAGATTTACCATTTACAACAATTACAGACTGTAGTCCATCTGTTTCTCTGTATACTTTATTAGCCCCCTTTTACTCTGTTCTTCAGTGGTCAGGACCCTCACAAGACCACCACAGAGCAGGTATTATTTGGGTGATGGATCATTCTCATTACTACTCATGACATGGTTGTGGCATGTTATTGTGTGTTGCGCTGGAATGTAAAAAAACTAAAGGACTTCTCACCTCAGAGAAATCTCCATTCTCAGCCCATTCTATTGCATTCTGGGCGATGTAGTTCCGAAGTACTACTGCAGGGTTAGTGGCATCCATAATCCTAACTCTCTCTTCGTCAACAGAAGCCGGGTCACTCATGCTATCGCATTCCCGAGTGAGCCGTTTCCTATGCAAACATCAAGGATATGAGTGATGAGACCAAGAAATGGAACAAAGTGCACTTGCTACCAGATCGTATCATGGGGATCTTAAAATCCAGTGGCAGCCGCACTTGTTTGTGTGCACTACCAATCTAGGCGTGTCCAACATAATCTGCAAAATATTTTGTGGGTAAGATTTATTCTGGGGCACTGCGGTCATAGCAGGTAAACAACCAACAGGTTTTGGGCTTGCCCTAGCGGCTTGCTTAATGGGCTATTATGGAAGCAGATTGGCAACAAATTGGGTGTGCTGCAGAGGAAAAAACACATTAGAAATGATTACATGATGCATACACATAATGAGCCTATGTAACCTCCATTAAATAACTTGTGCATAAAATTTCACTGCAATTTTTCGAAGGATGCGGCAAGAACAGTGCTACGTTTTACACACGCAGGTGGACGTGATGTGTGGTTAAAGCGAGCGGGTGTCGCCATTAGTAATCAAGCCTGTTCAGACCTGTGTGCACTTAAAAAGACTGATAATTTTGTTAAAACTTAAATGTAACATAAATAGAAAACCCAAACTCAGGACTAAGATGAAGATCTCATTATTCAATGACTAAAAGCATGGTTAGTGGAGAAATCTTAATTCACAGAGTAATTGAACCCTTCCTTGCCTGTATCTGTTTATCCATATCAACCAGTCATCTCTTTGCTTGACCTTTAGATCGTCCTGATTGGTCTCCAGCAGCTCCTTCAGCCTGCCAATCTTCTCCAGTTGCTTTGCAACCTCTGGCCGATTGGCTGTCATGTTGAACAGGCCTGGACTGGTTTCTGCCATGGAGAGAATCATCTCCAGCTCACTGAGGAGAGACATGTAAAAACAATATTCATTCTCTTCACTTTGTACAAATCTAATACCAGCGTACTGTACATAACTTTGCATAGCTAGTTCAAGTTCTATATATTTACTTTACAAAGTCAGGGAACAATAACGCAACTATTTGGTTAGATTCTCAAAAGCTCCTGGAATTCTACAGTTCTACAAAGACACACTGCCCATAAGCCGTGGCCGCTTTAACTGATGTACATACTTCACTATGTACATCACTTGGGATTAATTTAAACCCCATTTATTAACAGTGATTAAATGGGTGAGATTAAATGGGATTAATTTAAACTCCACTTATTAACAATCTTACTAAAAACTTCTGAAAGTTTTCTAGAAGCCACAAATATAGTTCAAAGTATATTGTTGTTAGCTCAGAAAGTCATGAATCAGAGTCTCATGTCAGTTGTATTTTAGAACTTGTGTTGTAGTTCATAATGTTATGCATGTTATTTTTAGAGTATTAGTTCTCTAACATTTATTCACTGGGTTACTCTGACAAGGACTCTTATTGTGAAGTCGGGCTAGCCCATAGCCCAAAGCAAAACACAGCGAGACAAACTGATAGACAAACTGATAGACAAAAACTCTCTTTGTGTATGGTGTGGCTGTGGCCAACTACATCCTTTTAATAAAGCACAACAACTTGTGCACCAGCTGAGTCTCTTTCTTAGCGGTAAACTCCACAGTTTGTTTAATAAATTAAGTAGACATTACCATATTTACATCTATATATGACGTACATTTAAGTAAATGAACATGTAATTCCATGCTCTGCATTGTTGTGGAAAGTGACCTCTGCAGCTACATTATTCATGGACATGAGTAATGTGCATAGAGTTGGCTGGGAATTGCCATTATATTTTATGCAGACTAATGCGCCAAATATTGTGCAGACTTTGTACACAAAGTTTGATGAACATCAATGTTCTTAGTGAATGATGATGTGACGAGTACATCATTAGATTATTAAACGCTATTAAAATATAAGCCCAAAAAAAACTATTTCGAAACCCTTTCAGTAAACACATGGATGGTAGCTCACTTGCCACTAGTCTTTCAGCAGTGCAGAAACAAATAAAACCCAGCAAATGATTTAAAGGTAAATCATCAGTGACTAGAGACATAGAAATGTAGAAATTCATATCGTGAACCTACCAGTTTTCCTGCTTTGCTTTACGTGCTAAGTCCTGAGAGCATTGTATTAATAAAGGGACAGTAAAATACAATGATATAGCACGTATGCTATAGTATACTGCTTAATCATAAATTATACATACATCAAACATAATAAATGTACACACACAGTCATTTTCAGAGGTGCCCTAGGGATGAAACTGGTGGATAACTAGTCAATCACCCAGTTCATATACATGACATATGAACCAAGATGGGGAAATAGTGTTAAGTGGAAAGGAAAGATGTGACCACTCTAAACACAGATTAAACCTTTTTCTATACTAAAAATCAGTTTCACAGGCATAAAAAAGGATTTTTTTTCATTTCTGCATAATTAAATCATGGAGATGTAAGCCAAGTAATTCTGAATGGTTTTGTGTGAAATTGTTCATTTTTTCACAATGTGGCAATAGGAGCCAGAGTTTGCAATGTCTACAGTGCAAATACAGACATTATTTTACTAACCAAAATGACCAGTGAACCTACATACAGTTATATGTAATGCTGATTATGGTAAATTAGGGGTAAATCTAAAAAAAATATATATTTTTATTTGGGGCCTATTTTGCTGTACAGTCCTGCGTGTACCTCTGCGTGTATTTTAAAAATATATTTTAGACCAAATCCTTCTCCAAAACTATCATAAAAACAATGTTTGAGGGGAATGGCAATGTATTTGTAAGCATTTAATGTAACAGCTTTCTATGGGAAAGTTTTTAGAGGCATTTTAGACGTCTGGTACCTATCCCCTACCCAGTCAACAATTCTGACTCAGTAAGTTTCTCTATAATGGAGCATTTCACATCAAACCACACTGAATTACCTTGTTTACATCTTAACCATTTAATTATGCAGAAACCTTGAAAAATTAGTTGAATTCCTAGTACTGTTCACTAATCAGAGAAAGTCCCAAAAAACGTAGTGCTGCATTCTGCCTGATAATGAAGTTATAAATAACCAAATGGTTTGGGGTGTGTGATATTGCTTCTCTCCAGATGCAATAACACACACAGATACAGCACAAGTGCCCTCACCGGGGCTCCATGGTAGGGTGATTAGCAACCTTAAGCTCCTCCAGCGAGGCACACTGCTCCAGGATCAGATCCACCACTGACCCTACATCACCCTGACCACTCTCTCCCACTAGGGGGCAGCACACACTGCTCAGCAAACGAAAAACATTGGTGAAATCTGCACCTGGAACAAAAAACAGAGGGTTTTGTCATTTTAGAGAAAGAATTCTGCTGTTCTGAGAACATTTTCAAGGTATCTCTCACGGGTTTGATTTGATTTTTCAAGCTACCGATGGCTTGCTTCACTGGCACTGGACTTTAAATTGTGAGTAAACAGCAACAGATTCCAAATGCAAATGCCACACTTAAAATCAGCTCCAGATCTTTCATCTGCTTAAATGTAAGTGATGTAATGAGGGAAAAACACATCAGGCTATGGAACAGCTGAACAGCCCATTGTCCAATTATGTTTGAGCCCCTATAAAGCGGGGAGGGGTGACTATGTATGGAAAAAGTTGTAATTCCTACACTGTTCACCCAATTTGGATGTAAATACCCTCAAATTAAAGCTGAAAAAGCTGCACTTTGAGCTCATATTCATTCATTAGTTTAAAATGAATCTAAAATAACAATAACTTCTGTCAACATTTAAATATTTATGGACATGACTGCACTTCAAGCTAATATATTTGCTTATTATGTTATATTTGCCTATTATACTATACTATATTAGACTATTTAATAGTCTCAGCTATTAAGAGTATAGATTTGGTGGGAATATGAGGCCTAATCAACTGCTGGAAGGTGTCTGCAAAAACCATCTCAAAATTTCCGATAATATATAAATGTGTAGTAATGAATCTGTACTGTGAGTAGTCAAGTAAAGTACAAATATTTAAAAATAATACATTACAATGTTTAAGTACAGCTATGAAGTTATTGTACTTCATTACTAAAATCGGTAAATGCCAGGGAATACAAGAAGGGTTGCCAAAAGCAAGCAAGATTTGGGTTCTGAGCTAGAAATTCCTTTCTATGAATTCTCTGTCCATATTCCCTCAACTCATATTAACACATTGCTTGCCAAGTCCTATGTTACATTATCACCCTGCACATAAACACAACATAGTACCTGTGTTGTGCATGATCTTTAACAAATCCTCCACAAGCTCCTCATCTTCTGGTTCCTCCCGTCTCAATAGCCCCAGCTTCCTCCTCATGTTTCCCAGGTAAAAGTTCCTGTACAGCGGCATAAACTCATCCAGGATGGTTCCTGCTGTGGATGCCTGCAACTCAGATCCCAAGGCCTCTGCCAAGCGTGCCAGATTCCAGCGGCATACATAAGGCTGGGCCTCAAAAGTGTATCGTCGCTTCTTATCTGATGCGTTGGACACAAACTCAGGGTCGTACCTAAACTTAGGTGAGAACAGAATGGCACAGTGAGCCATTACTATTGACAAGGCTCTTATTGTTGTTAGGCTCTAATTACTTGCAATCTAGTCTCTCATTATTATATTTGCCAGCGTCATCCACATCACTAACTATCTGATCTCAACAGAGAAAGGAATGAACAAGCCTTGCTGTAATGTTTATTCTCTAAAACTGTTAAAAGACCTGTCCATGAAGCCAAAAGGGCCGTAGTCTATGGTGAGGCCCAGGATGCTCATGTTGTCTGTGTTGAGAACTCCATGACAGAACCCAACACTCTGCCACAGGGCGACCAGTCTGGCAGTCCGTACAGTCACCTGCGCAAAACAGCACTATTTAAGAATGAGTTGATGGAAAAATCATAAAGCAAATTTTCATTGACTTTGGACTGATACATTGTACCTATTACACACAATCAATAATGGTAATATGGCATTTTTACAGTTATACTGTATGTGACACCTTCAATCTAAATGCATGTGCACAACAAGCTTGATACATTGCAGTAATGTATTGATTAGATTGCTCTGTAACTCTGCATGTACCCACCTCTCTGAAGAAGGCAGCGTTCCTGGCCTTGTGATCCGGGTGCTCTGCCTGGATCTCGGGATAGAACATCTCAATGACGTAATCAAGTAATTGTGCACGAATTTCATGGCGACCAGCACTAGGACCTTGCCTTCCTGTGAAGTCATCAGCTGGGTTGAAGATTTCAAATGAACCAAACCTTCAGTGATGGAAAGATAGATATATGGCGAAGAAGTAAACAAAGAAAAACACCAAAAAAATCCAGCTCCAATCAGAAGGACAAGAGCCTAATATAGATATATGATTAACAAAGTGCACACTCAGTATCCACAATGATGCCACACACATGTCTGTCTGCAGAGAAAAACATTAATTACAGGTATGCTTGACGTCACTGGTAAAACGGGATCTGCTCCTTTAACTTAACCATTAATCTCTAATAGCAGACTTTACCAGCAGGTGGCAATGTTTATCCAACTGAGTTTAACATGAATGGAAAATCCTTATTGAACTGCTTCGGTTTCAGTTAAAGGCATTTCTGCCAAGGAGGAACTTATTTCCCATGGTAGGTGCACACATATAGCAAACATACCAAGTACAAAAAAGAACACAGGAGGTGTTTACATAACATCAACATACAAAGTACTAAATAGTATACAAACATATAAACACGATTACAGGGGTCACACAATGCAGGACATGCGTTAGCGCTCAACACATGCTAATTAATGCAAAGGTTATCTGTTTAATGCCCGAATGGCTGTAGGGGCAAAACTCTCGCTAAAAAGAACCTTCCTACATGTAGGTAATTTGTACCTACGTCCTGAAGGAAGGTGGTTACAGTACTGGTGGAGTGGGTGGTCTGGATTATCGTGATTATTAGTGCCTTGCGGATCAGGGATGAGATAACACACTTGGATAGTTCAGGGGTAGGAATACCAATGAGTTTGCTGGTCAGATTCGTTATCTTTTTTAATGTATTCCTATTGGAAACTGTAAGTATATTGAAGAAACAGATGGCTCCATACAGAAGAACTGGCTTGATGATACTACGATACAGGAGAAGAAGGAGATGTGTTGAACAGACAGCTGTTTCAATTTACAGATGCTGGCAATGTTTATAAATGTCCATAGTATGCTGATTGAAGCTGAGGTTATTATCCAGTATAATGTCAACGTATCTGAAAGACTTAACCTCCTCCATCTTCTCTTTTTTGATGGTGAGACTAGGGGGATGGACCAGTGTTTTAGGTTGACTGATGAGCAGTTCTTCAGTTTTTGCGAAGTTAAGGTGGAGAAAGTTGTCCTATAGAGCTAGAGTAGCTGTATTCTAACTGCAAACACATTAGGTAATCAAGAGATGGGCTAGGGAATGATGATTATCTGGCTCAGATGTGTCAAGGATTGGAACAAATTGGAACAAAACAAAAATGTGGAGGTTACTGAGGTCTGGATTGCCAGATTGACTGCATGTGTAATAATGCTATGAAATGGTCTGTGATGTTATTTATTAAACATTAATCATACAGATGCAGTGAAGCTTAGTCTACCTGATAAAGGTGGGAGCGATGCGCAGGACCACGGAGCACCTCTCCGGTTTGGGATTGCCACTATAGAATGCATCTCTCTGCACATAGAGGTCAGATGTCACCAGCGAGCCAGCTCGAGTGGTGGGAATGCCCAGGGCGAATATGGCCTCACTGCACAGAAACTCCCTGATGCTGGAGCGCAGCACTTTACGACCATCAGACTGCCTACAGAGACAAAGCAAAGAGGGTCCACTGCAACTGTTTATTTTGTATTACATGGTGTATACGATCAGCATAACATCCCATTAATAAGTTGACATATCAAAATAAGGTAGTGTATATTTCAGTGTGCTGGGGTATATAAATAGTTCTATGCTGCTGGAGTTTTCAAATATATGTGTGTGTATATATATATATATATATATAAATGTACATACACATTGAATAACTGGATGAAAGGCTAGGAAAATATGCAGAAAAACAGTGACACTGCCGATGTATTACTGTGTTTGTTGTGCTGGTATGAGTGAATTAGGTGCAGCAGTGCTGCTGGAGTTCTGAAACACTGTGTCCATTTACTGTCCGCACAATTAGACACACATTGTTGGTCCACCTCATAAATGTAGAGTTAGAGACAACAGCTCATCTACACAGTTGCTTATCCTGTAAGGCACAGTTTCCCAACCCTGGACCTTGAGGACCCCTTGCCCTGCACATTTTAGCATTCTCCCATTCTCCCGCCTCTTAACACACCCACTTCAAGTCATGTAGGGCTTGTTAATGAGCTGATTAGTTGAATCAGGTGGGTCATTTCCAGATTTATAGAAATCTAGAGTGTGCTAGAGCTGGGAAATTACCAAACTGTGCTGGACTCAGGTATTCACCTTTACTCTAGTATTCATCAGAGGTCAGTTTCTGACCACAGGATGCTGTTGGCTGGATTTTTGTGGTTGGTGTACTGTTCTCAGCCCAGCAGTGACAGTGAGTTGATGAAAAGCTCAAGCAACACTGCTCATGTTGGAGATGTTGAGATATGATTTTATTACACACAATAACGTGCTGGCACTTGAGAAAATTTAAAATTATTAATTTAAAATGCTATTTTTGCATGTTTGTTTAACCATTTCCAGAGCTCTCCTTATGGCTGCTCAGTATTGTCTGTAGTTATCATGCGGTTTTGCTAAACAATCCACTATGTTAGGTCAAGTGTGTTTATGGAATTCCATGCAATGGCTGGGGGTTTGAGGAGAAATCTGGAATAAAACACCATATATGGTGTTTTCACAAGCTCAGAAACACTTAATGCCAGTATATATGGTTTTAAACAATGTGCTTAGATGCCTTTTGCACAGTACTGTATACTGTATTTATTTTCCTATTTAATGATGTATGGCGAAGGAAACAGTTGTGTGAAAGACCTACAAGAATGCAAGTAGAACTAGCCTTCATAATGCTTTCAATCCTCTTTGAAAGATGTTTTAGCCCAATCATGTGCAAGTGATTTCAACTGAAGAACTGAAGAAAAGACTTCAAGAGAACCACGTTCATTCAAAGCCCTCTAAACCTCACATCACATCACTCTGACTGTAACATCACTGACACGATCTCTTCAGTGCAGCTCGCGGATACAGTTTACCTGGAGTATGGGGTCAGTCCTGCGCCTTTCACCTGGATCTCCCACCGGCCGCATGGACTCCTGAGCTCCTGGTCTGTGCGGTCTAATCTAGCCTCCACTTCTCCCAGATAACACACCGCCCCGTCCCCCAGCTGCCCCGCGAACAGGCCGAACTGGTGTCCGCAGTAGCAGTGGGCAGCGGGCTCGGAGCCGGGCAGTATTGCGGAGCCGCTCAGGTACTCGGGTCCGCGCGGGTCCATCAGCACGTCCTCGGCGCTCAGGCCCAGCAGCGCGAGCGCGCGCGGGGACACAGCCACGAAGCAGGGTCTGGGTAGAGGCTGCGGCTCGACCCGAGAGAAACACGCCCCTCTGACCGTACGAGAGCCCCCATCCAGAGAGGCGTCCACAGGAAGCTTCCTCAGAGCCACGTTATTAAAGCGGAGCCGCTGCAGAGGAGTCTGACCCGCCTGGGCCATCATGGTGAGAGCGAGGGAGCACACTGACCCCGTGGCTTTAGTGGACTAGTTTAGGAAGTGTGTGGAGGCGCGTCGTTTAATCCGTGCAGGGATTAATGTGGCGGGTCGAGGGTGACGCAGCAAAGCGCCGTCGTGCACCAGTAACACACACTGCTCTGTTTGGATTGTGTCAGTGAGAGTGAAGGAGCTTTTGTGAGTCTTCTGAAAGAGTCTGTGCTCACAAGACCAGAACAAATGTTCTAATGTAACCTAATGTGCTGTTGGGACGGGATTAGCTTTACGTGGAGAGGTGAGCTAATGAAATTCGCCACAGGACGACTGTGTTCACGACAGATTCGCACTAAAAGAAATTGTTTTCAGACTGTAAGTTACATGATGCAGACCAGCCCACTCACACACACACACACACACACACACACACACACACACACAGACCATTGCCTTCGTGCAAAATAACTTTTTCTAAAATTTCATCCCCATGCCTTTCTCTTATCACTGCACACCTGCTCGGATATGTCCTCATCCCCCTAGTTTCTTCCTTCTTGTCTTCTTGGTGCTGTTTGTTTGTTTGTTTGTTTTTTCTGCTGCTGTCCATCTTTACATTATTCACGTATCTAAATTGCAAAAAAGAAAAGTAATAAACCCAGATTACTGAGCCACTGCGAAAAAAAAAAAAGTCGCAACAACATTGTGTTTTCTTGCAAAATTTTTGCATTCCCTTTTTGCTATTATACTTTTGGAACTACACTCTTAAAAATATGGTTCTTCAAGGTTTTTTAGTACATGGTTCTGTAGTGAACCATGAACACTCAAAGAACCATTTGCATGCTTTAATGGTTCTTGGCATGGTGAGATGGTTCTTCAGACTGATGGAGAATGTGTTGTACATGTCTTTTCGTTTTTGAAAAGTTTCATAAAGCACCAAAAAGGGTTCCTCTATTGTTCTAATGGTGCTGTACAATCAGCAAACTGGTGCTGTGCTACTTGTGCAGTTTTAACCCCTGAATTACTACAGATGTACACTTGGATGTAACATTTATGGTTTGTCTGAGTGTCCCTGTGTTTATATGTGTGCTTTCTTTTTGTTCTCTCTCTTATAACCTGTTTCAACTGCTGGCCCCCTAATAACCTGAACAGGGCTGCCTCCTGTCTCATGAACGCAGCAAAAGTTGGTAAAAGACGCAGAATACCCACAAGAGCCACACACTGATGTCTTTTGTGTTTTCTGAGTTGTCACAAACCTCCTAAACGTAAATCTGTTAAAATGGCAATTGAATAAACAATTAGGCCGTTTTAACGTTAATTGTGTTGCCAGTATATGCTACAAAAGTGGTAAAGTCATCATACTAGAAAATAAAAATAAATGAATAAATATTTGTGTGAGTAATCCACCATATCCCAAAAAACAAAATCTTTCAAATTTGACTCTAAAGAGAGTAGCTATGTGATTTTCAGTTAATGACGTCATGCCACATAATTCAGTCATGCAAGTGTTTCATGGCACATGCATGAATGAATTATCAGTTCGTTCATCCCTTTAAAGTTCAGTAACTCTGAGATTAATAACTAAATCACTACACTGATTTATCAGTTTACTCAGGCTTTAACAGGAACTTCAGGGTTAGTAAAGAAACCATTAATAGACTTCCTCTTTAGAGTCTGTCTAATGAGCATGTTTGCTACAAATTTTAACTTAGACTGAAGAGATACTTAATTTTGTTTTGCATTACATCCCACGCCTCTGTGTGTGTGTGTTTGTGTGTGTGTGTGTGTGTGTGTGTGTGAGAGAGAGAGAGAGAGAGAGAGAGAGAGAGAGAGAGATTGCACTTGTCTTATAGGCTGTTCCCTGATAAATTAATTTCATGGCAGAGTGCGACTGAAGGAAAAATCTAATCACCCAGGTGACAACAGGTCCAAATGAGATTTGTTTGGCAAGGCATAAATCCACATTGTGTCAGGTCACTTAGGAATCAGACAGTACTGACCACTTCAGGGATTGAGAATTTAAGACCTGCTTCCGTTTTTATTGGGAAATCTTGATAAAGAAATAGAGCCCTTCATATTTAACAGCCTTAAAATGCAAATGGGGCTTGCACTTGTTTTTTACCTTAACACAAACACGTTGTATTATCCTAAAATGTAAAAACCTCCTGTTTGCATATGACAGCTGTTTTATTGTTTGTAGCTTTACTTTTACAGTATACTAATGGTTAAAAGAAAGAACACGTAATACCATTTAGAATTTGTCACCCATTGAATTTTTTACAAATGACCAATCAGAATAGAAACCATAGTCTTTGTTTTGTTCATTTTTATTTATTAGCTTACATTGACACTAACATTTATGGCTTACACATCTTTTGATATTGGCTAAGCATTGCTCCAGGCATTCTGGTTGGTTCTTACGTTATCTGCATAATCTTTCAGAACAAGTATTTGAAAACATTTTACAGTGTAGAAGGGTTGGAAGTGTTTGGTTTTTGTTTTTACTTTTAATTTAAGTTAAGCAAAGCTAAGGCTTCATTCTGGCAATAATGTCTACATACTAGAATAGAGTAATGAAATCATGCCTTGTTGTTTTTTTTGTTTTTGTTGTTTGTTTTTTAAGGCAAGCAACTGTAGGAATAGCAGCTAGAATAGTCAATATAACAGAGGTTCCCAACCCTGCTCCTGGACATCTAGTTTCCGTGCGGATCTAGCTTCCTTCTTAGGGAACTAGGACAGTATTTGATCTAGGTACTAGGGTAAGTAAAACTGTAAAGAAATGGTCTTCATCACAATCTGTATTTACATGATTTTGACTTAGTACTGTTACTACACATTACTTTAATCTACACTTTCTCAAAATGGTTATCAATGCTAATATGAAATCATGCCATTCAATACATATTCATGTAACTGCACAAAGACAATAAAGGATAATTATTATACATTGTTATGAGAAACTCAACACAGTTCACTGAGCACATACTCCTGATTTAGTCATTATTATTCCTCAAGAAATGTCTATCTGACATACATGGAAAACCACTTTGTAAACCAGTATCCGTATACGAGAGTTTCTGTAGAATGTCTCTAAATACAATGTATGTACAGACGCCAAAAGCACTTTTGGAGTTCCTCTACAGTACATACGGTGTAGGTTTCTTGGACAAGTTTTCTCTTGGTTTCTGTTGTATTGTCAATGCTGACTCGCCACTGAAAATGCCTCTTCATCTCCGACTAGAGAAACAAATGTCTAGGAAACAAAATATTTTGAACTGGTCTTTCTCTTGAAAATGTGTGCTGATCTTTTTTAGTGACCCTGTCTACGATGCTGAGTAGACAGGCGGTTGGCAAGCAGACATGCTAGGGCAATGCCTGCCACCTGGGTAAAAGCAAGCCCCAGCACAGCAGCAGCGATGTGAAAGACGTTATCGTTGACGAAACTGAAGACTTTTTTGAAGCAACCATGCGAGTGAATGCCCACAGCTTCAATGCTTTCACTGCCCCCTTCTGGCAGAGGCCTGTTACGGCAGCCCTTGCGCCGTATGCAGCAGCTGTCTGGCACCGACACGGAATATGTATCATTGCCATAGCTGCCTGTTAGTGAAAGAGCATCCTGGGTAGCCCAGGCAGACGAGAGCCAGTCACGCCAGCCTTCTGCCCCACAGCACTTCAGCACCCTCTGGAGGCCGTCCAGAGCATCAGCGCGGCCTTCGTCTTCCCCGTACGCAAGCACTGCCCTCTGTAGACCACTTCGGAAACCTCCAGCAATGTCTTCCCTGTAGAAGAGCCCCGAAAGACCAGCAGCCAACCCTCCCATCAACGTGGCCAGCTGGAATAAGCCGTAGGCCCGCAGAAGGCAGGGCAGGTTGGCCGCCACCCCCAGACACCCAAGGAAACCCCAGGTTGTGACCGCAGCCCCTGTGGCTAGCAGTATCAGAGGGGCGTTGGGGTAGCGATTAGCAGACAGTAGCATGTAGTCAGCCAGGGAGGCTTGCGCCCAGACGCCCAGGGTGAAGATGGCCAGTCCTGCTGCCCAAAAGAGGCAGCTGAAAATGAGCAGCGCCAGGCGCAGCAGCGGCACCATCCCCACTGCACGGCAACATGGTGGGGAAGCGCCCACCCGAGGCACAGGGGGCGCCAGCGAGGCTTCAGAACCTAGCGACAGGGAGAGATGCTGGCGCTGCTGATGTTGCTGGTGGCTGTTATCCTCCTGGAATGGAGAAAGCTGGTTGGACCCAGGCAGAGCTGAGAGCCGACGGGCCAAAGCAGGTGAGGCGGGGGCTCCCAAGCCCCGTGGAGACGAAAGCCTTCGAGAGACGTGCTGATCTTTCACCCGACGAGGGCTCAGGCGGGCAGGCAGAGAGTCATAAGACGCGGTGGCGAGTGCACAGCTCATGGTCCCGTCTCTGCTTTTATCCACCGCCCACTCTCTCTCCCTCATTTACTCCTCCCTTTCCGTCTACTTCCTTTGTTTCGCAGTCTTTACTTGCATCCCTCATGCCCCCCCTATGCTCATTCTTTATAGCTAGCCATCAACTCTTGGCCCAACACACACACCCCCTCTTCACCATAAATTGTCCACAGCAAGGCATCACATGGCAGGCTTATCTTCATCCACAGCTACACCTCACGCTCTGCGGTATTTAGATGTTTATTTCCGACATTTATTCCGCTCGCTTGGCTGCAAAACCTACGTGCCACTGCAGCAAACGTCGTATCCAGTGTTGGAGCTGGCTCACTATATCTCTTCGGCAGGGGATGTATGGGGGTGGGGGGAGCATGGTGGATGTATAACTAGGATACCATGAACGCACCCCATCCGACTCCCTCTGCTGGCACAGGAGTCACTGTTCAGGAATAAAGCTGGAAGATCTGTGCAATTTGTGATTTTAATGGCCCTTTAAAAATATAACATCCCTACAGCTCATTCCATAGTCATTTTTTATATCATATCTTAGGCACCACACTGTTGCAGCAGACCGTGTGCACTCGGCGTGGATATGCATGAAAGAAGGCAGGCTGAATGAAATGTTATTTTGGATCAATACTAGTCAAGGGCATGTGTGGAGACTGTACTTTATGGCAAATGGGATTGAATACCTTTGGCATTCGTTAAATGACTTACTACCTGTGGGTTATAGAATCATAATTATACATGTAATTCCGGAACATGGACAGATAATTACCAAATAACCTTGCCTTAGCATAGCAGTGGAAGGAATTAAAATAAAGGTTTACTTCTAAACATTGATATTATGGAGCAGTTTAATTTGAACAAATTTAATGAAATAACAAACATGCCAATGTTACCAACTGTTTAATTCCAAGTGATGGGAATAGATGGAGTCAATTCTGAGAGTCAAATCCAGACAATAATCTTCTCAATTTTCCAAAAATCACAACAAGCCCTTTTCACACATGCACTTTTACACAGGAATTTAATAGTAATTAACAAGAAAGAATTAAGTTGCTGCTAAGATTGATGTAGCAATTTACCTGCACATGGCCTAACTTAGTAGATTTCCTGTTCAATTACCAGGAGGGCTTATGTGTGAACAGATGCCGATGAATTACCAGGAAAACAATGTCTTGATTATGGCCAGCAAAATGTTTTTACAGCGCTTTTGTTTTTACAATGTTGAGTTTTCATGTTTCAAAGGGAAAAATATCACCAGAGTGTATTTTGTACATGAGTTTTAGTGGCGTATTGAGAAGTGGCAAAATCTGACCATTAACCCCTTTAATTCTTCCAATATATCAAAAATTCCTTCATAAAAATGATGTAAGATCAAGATGTAAACAAAGTCATTAAGAGTAGATTGATGTGAAATGCTCTGTTCTAGAGAGTTAAACAACAGAGAAGTAAAGTACAGCCAATCAACTGATGTGTGAATTGTGGAAGGATGTATTTTTCAGACAGGCTTGTCTAGACAGTGGCAGAATATCTCTCCCATGAGAATACTGTAAAGGTTTCCCCTTTCCCATTAAATAAAATCATTTTCTTTCCCTATACTCACAGATTACCACGGAAATCCACAGTTTTACCGCTATCCCAACTCTCCTGCAGCTCTCTACTCTGGATACTTTTCCTGGCCAACTCAGAAAATTAAAGGAGGTCGCATGAGGTCAATTTAAAATGTAATCTTATAAGAAAATTAAATAATTACGAGAGTAAAAGAGGTTGATGTCATTTTGGCAAGCTATGCTAAACGGTGTTTTACTAAAAGCTCTATGATACATGGTTTACTTACTTGCTGAAATTGTTTTCTACTTACTGAAATTCAACATCTCAGGCTCGCCCTAAACACACACACACACGCACACACACACACATAGAGAGAGAGGGAACACTCAGATGATATTACTGGAGCTAAAAATAAAATGGTATCTCCCTCAGCAAGGCAAATAAAATGGGTTGTTGATCACAGGGGAAGTGATCCTCTGCTAAGCATCGGTCACTTCCCCACCCCCAGTCCAGCTCATGACCCCACAACCACTCCTTCACGCTATTATTCAGTTTCCTCACTATCTCTATCCTTTCATCCTCAGGAAATCATTATTGTCTTCTCCATTAATTAAATGCCCTTGTAAAACGGTGGGTCTCATTAGAAAAGGACAGCCATCAATAAACCTTGACGGCTAGACACCGCCGACTGGCTTCCACTGCCATTAATATGGTGCAAATAGAGATGAAGAGGTGAAAAGATGATAGGCACCACAGAGGGATTCAGATTGCTTGAGCTCAGGCATGGTTCACTGACAAACACACATGAAAACTGCACAAGCTTTGTTAGTAGGCACAGACTGAATACATCAGTTAAGACTGACATTTTTTTCCACTCTGTTAGTTCATGTGCCTGGTCATATTAAGCACAACCATATCACCACATCATTTAAAACACCAAATCCTTGTTTACTTGTAATCTTCCATCAAAGTGTAATACTTTCTGCTTCTAAAACATCTGATTTCATCACCGTGTACCAGCAGGCTGGGAAAATAATATTAACCTAACCTAATAATATGGCATTTCATCTCCCACTCCCACCCCACTTATCATCAAGAGAAATGTTCAGCTAGCTCAGAGACCCCAATTAACAGGACTAAACCATTTTTATTGATGCAAAAAAATTAAAAGCATTGTCAAAATTGCCTGTATTGCACCTTGTGGCAAACAACCAAACAAACACACCCACTCTGAACTGACGAGAAACATGAACCGACTGAACTTTCTAGTTCTAGTTAATTTCCCAACTGCTCAAGAGAAGCTAGAACCATAATAATAATAACAATAACCACGATTAACGATTCAGCTGTCTTGGTGGTTTTATGTCACTCTAAAATGTCTAATTTGACTAATTAGCTAGCATGATTACCAGTTAACTTACCTAATTGGTTGATATGAAACAATTCACAGCACTGTTCTGTGCACCCACACAAATGTCTGCATTGGCACTCTGTAAAATAAAAACTCTCTATAAGTAAAAAATCTAATAATAGTAATCAACACATCAACCTAGCATCCTGTTTTACATTCTGACACTCTTATTGGTGAGGGTGTAATATGTTGGCAATTTCATCTTCATTTGAAAGGGTTGTTAAATTGTCATTGGCTTCAGCTGCAAGTGTTCCCAAAGACACAGGATCTCTTACTAGGATTAATACTGCTTAAAACAGCTCTACCTGCCTTTGAAAGCTAAAAACTAAGTAAAATCCACTACATAGTGGGTACTTAAGGAATTACAAGAATAAGCCTCAAACAAAACAGGATTTCACTGCTATTGCCAACGTTGTGTCTGTTATGTTTAAATTTACTTTTAATTGTTCCGTAAATTGAGCTGCTTCCATGCTGACTGGACGCACATCATCCACCCAGAAATACAGCCATCATGTTTACAAACATTCTGATTTGGCCTATAGGACTGTGTGAGATATATTCATGGGGTTGCCAGTCTTATGATTTTAGTTCTATGCACAGAAGTATTAGCTTGCATGTATCAATATTCATATTTCGACTCCTTAAATGACTCATAATTCAGAGGGACATTTAAGTGCAGATGAGACAAAACGTTTGCTGTTTATGTTCTAATGTAGGTTAACAATAAATTATAGGTTTGGCAGCATAAGGTGCCATGTCGCCTCACTATTCAGTTAGATTTTATACTACTGCAATGTTCAAAAGGAGCAACTAGCAGTAAAAGACAATACATTTTTAGGAGCATTTGTCTAAAACGGACTACAAATGCTGTTGCATAAATGTCGTCACCATCACACGGCCATTAAGAAACCACAGTTAGGGAGTGATACACACTTCATGCACATGAGTTATAATATTTGTGATGTAGTGATTTCCTTAACTCTTTAACTGAGCATACACTGTATGTCTTTTAAAACCTGAACAGATTTCTAAAACAAAGAGCATTTCACACTTGATATCAGTCTTTTACAGAATTTCTTGTCTTTTTTGTGAACTTGCACACTGAACGATAAGACAAAAACAGGGTATAACACATATAATATGTTTTGGCTATGAAAAAGTTCCAAAATCCCAGATCCCCCGTTATCACATAATACAAACAGAGCTAAAATGGACTGGGCCTGCTTGTACCATGGTGTGCACACAAAAAGCGTAGCAAAAACACAAAATGGGAATGAATATAGGGTTGAGAAATGCAGTTATCACAGCCAGAGCTGGAGAATATTTCACTACAAACTGGCAGCTGAGTTGAAAGGTTAACAAAATTGGGCCCGACTTTACCCAATCAAACAGATTTGTAATGAGAGTGACTTGACATCCGAGTCCATACATGTTTAGTCCTAAATATTATGAAGGCTCTTATTGTCCATATGTAGAGCGTAGCCTTCTCCTAGCGCTCTCATTGGCCTGAATCACTCATTCTGTTACACTGCTGAAGGTTTCACACTTCAGGACTCTTGAACATTTTGAGTCATAAAAATCAAACGTTTGAAAATATCTGAAGGCCTCAGATCACTCTGGTGGGCGACTGGAAGGCTAAAGAGTGATTTGTTCCCATTCTCACACTACCAGATCATTCACATTGTTACATCATCATCGTCTTCCAGTTGAGCTCCCGATCTGGAAAATTTGTCAGTCAAAGCAAACTGGGATTAAAATCGGGCTAATGAAATTGGGCCCAACTTTACAGAATAAGACAGATTTGTCACTGGTTCTCATTTTGTCCACCAGGAAAGCGTAAAACATCCATTGATTTTTGTCAGTGGAGTGGGAGCATGTTGTTCAGTAGCACTGCAACATTTTGCTTTCAAGTTATTATTCAATTATATTATGTTCACAGTTATGTGGGTTTAAGCTGTTTCTATATTTTCCCTATAGTGAAATGAATGATGCCGTAGATCTGCACTTTCCCTCCCTATACCACGTTTCATTCAGAAATACATCACAGTACAGAAGGAAAATGCAAACCTAGCTTTAAACTGTAAGTGTTAATTCAACACTGGGGATTTTGCTCCATAGCACTGCGTGCCACCTAGAATTTAAAATATTACAGGATCCCAAACGACAAAACCTCAACGTTTTATTCCAGATCTTTGATG